TCGCAAATAAATAAAATCTTAAAAAAAAAAAATAAAATAAATAAAAAAAAAGAAGATGAAGCTCCAAGACAAGGTGGGAAGGAGGGAGGAGACGGAGAAGTATTGGAGGGTTTCTTTCTGGCTGGTAATAAATGTAGACACCAGAGTTGGCCAACAGGGACAGAGAAGACCCTGAGGGAAGGACAAGAGCTTGGGATGTCCCCTGGGTCTCAATACTCTCCATTCCCAACTCCCTCTTTAGAAACTCCTAGTGCCAAGCTAACCTTGGCCACAAAAGGTGGTCTCTGCATGATAAAGCAGCCCCTCTTGGAAGCCCCATCCACTATGGTGGCTTCTTGCTGCTGAGATGCACAGTAGGTGGGTGGGGATTCCAAGGTTTTATTGCCTTCTTTGAAGGTTCCCAGTCCACAGGTCTCAGAAAGACTATACTGAAGAAATGTCTATAAAAGCACCCCTGGCACACAGCGGGGACTCCATCACTTGCCCTGGGGTAACTCACTACAGGAGGACACCCACATTGAGTCATGCTTAACAGACCAAAAACAAAACCAACAATAACAAAACACCTTCACTATTGGCATTTGTTTTAAAAGTCATGAGTATAGAATCTGAACAAGAGCTTAGAATTGGCCAGTATACTCTAGCCAAAGCAAGTTTTGGTAATATCAACCTTACCACCATTAACAATAACTCTACCCCTCCCCTCTGCCTGACTCCCACCAGCCTCTTACTGACGGCTCCCTCCAAGCACAGCTGACGAGCACCCTGCACCAGGGGACACACAGCAGAACCTCAAAACAAAAATGCTTCCTCCCTTCCCCCACCATCCTGGTGTCTCATTAAACCACAGCCTGAAACATGCAGATGGTTGCACCTGCTGCATGCCTGTGGATTTTCTCCCAAGACTCGAAGGGAGCCACCTGGATGCAGCAAACACAGCACAGACAACAAGTGCTTTGTGTCTTGTTAAATGCTCTGTAATTGAAGTTCAACCTCACTTAGCTCTCTGGTGACATTTAGCTCTCTGGTGACATCCCCAGCTGAGAAGTGGCTTGCCCTCTCACTGCATAGCCTTTTCCCAAAGCCCTGTTTACAGAATTCAGTTACTCAAAGCACTGAGAAAAATGACAATATCTTAGGTGAGGATGTAGATTATTAATGCACATTACAATATCTGTGGACTTTGTCTCAAAAGGAAAATCTAATTTAGTTTCCTAGTCAAACAACTTCTCCATCATTTAAAGGCTATGGATTTTTCCTACAGAATTAGTAGGAGTCAGGAGTAGACACTGAAGTTCAGACAGGACCAGCTACATAATCTATGACACCCTGGGCAAAATAAAAATGCAGGGCTTCTTATTCAAAAAGTAGAGGAAAAAAGCACTACTATAGGTACTAAAAGATAGTGTTTTCTTTCTTCTGCAGTCTCTTTCTTGACCTGTCATGGTGTTTTTATTCATTTTTAATGTTGTACTCCTCAGGCACAGGAATGCTCGCAAGGCAAGTGCAACCCTCCCAGGCACCCAGGGGCTCCACCCTGTGACCGGAAGCATGAGTGTATATGCAGCTGCTGGGCGGCGGCCCCATGTCCTGGCCAGGGGCAGAGAAGTTGAGCCAGGCAGCTTTCCTTCCCATGGGCCCACTGTGGACAGGCAAGCCCAAGGATATTGTAACCTCCATCCCGGGATATTGTACAAATCTAAGGATAGGCAATAGGCTTGCTCCCACTGAGTCACCCATCAGATGTACCATGATGTTGCCAGACTAGGGTCCTTGAGATACTACTAGGTACACATATTCTGATCTTCCTCTTGCTCAGGCCCCCAGTGGAGAGGAGGGTGGCAGCAATTGCTAGATGGGGATGCTGAGGGGGAGGTTAGGGGTTCCTAGGGTGCCAGAGAGCAGATGAGTAGGCAGCTGAGAACCCCTCCTGGCAAGGCAGGGAGGCAGTAAGAAGTGGAACTCTGTGTAAGGCAAAGGCTCCAAGTCCTTGGTGCATGCTCCATGGACTCACTGAATTCCAGTTACAAAACACAAATTCTAAGTTAAAATCAAGAGTTTCAAGATGGTACCCATAGAGCATTAAACCCCAAGTACTCCTGGGTCCTATGTAGGTGCACTGATCACATGTCCGTGAAGTGAGCCTGACTTTAGACTTCAGATGAAAGGAAATAATTTTGATTGCTTTCCCACCCCAATACATGTATTTGTAAGATTTTGACATATATGTCATATATATGTATATATATATATATATATATACACTTAAATATATTACAAATAAGAAAAGCTTATGTGTTTTACCCATTTTAACTTTATTTCAGTTATGAGTTAACTAGCAGAGTTGAGACTGAACTTAACAAATGTTTTCTATTTAAAAGACTTTAAGTAGAAGGAAATATATCAAAGTGTTAATAGTTCTCTCTAGGCCAAGGTGTTAAAAAGTAATTTTTATATCATTTTCTGGACATTGTGATACTTTTTTTACAATGAAAATGATACATGGATTGCTTTTATAATTAGGAAAAAAAATAAATGCTGTTTTGTGAAGTAATAAAATAAACATACTTTACCTGTAGGGAGAGCACCCTGCTCCTTGGATTTTTCTGATACCACTAGTGCTATCTCTCTGTTAACTTTTCTTAATACTTCTTGGATCAGATGAGTTTCAAGATTTTCCAGAAGTTTCTGAAGCTAGAGTAAGAAGTTTGAGAGTCACTTTCTACATTCAGCTTATACTCTGAGCTCCTAAGTCAAATTCCTGCAGAAGGGTCTGGGGCTAGGTCCTGTCCTTCAGCTACTCTCTCTCAGGGAAGAAGGAAGGGTTCCTTTCTTGGGTTTCCAAGTGCTTCTGCAAGGGTAGATATACCTCTCTGGAGACCAACATCTTTTCTTGCTGGCCCACATCCCAGTTGATAAAATACAACCTTTTTTTACCAAGTCGTGATAAATTGCAAAGTGCTCAATGTCTGAGGTGACCTCATGTGTTTTGGGGGTCTCTTAAATGTGGTCAGAAATTTCATGAGATGTCATTACAAGAGAAACGCCTGGGCCTGAAACTCAATTTAGATATCAAGGAGGATTTCATGAGAAGATTTAAAATTCCAAACATGACCAGGAGAAAACTCTCCCAATAACCATGAGCCCTTACTTTACCCATTATGCTTGTAGAACCCATGTTTCTCCCTGTCACAGGACCCCAGGTACAAGAGAGAACCAGGGCTCAGAAGGGTAAGCAATGGGCTTGGGACTGGGGTGTGTGTGTGTGTTGTGGGGGTGGGGGGCAGATTGCCACTGAATTCTTGATCTTCAGGGGACAAGAATCTGTCCATTGACACTCAAACAGCTAGAAGTTTTGCTTTCCTGTTACAGTAACAAGGAGAACACAGCCTTGCCTGTTACAGACACAAGGGAACACAGCCATGTGGAGACTCTGTCCCAGGACCAAGGTGAACAAACAGTTGGAAAAACAACCTCTCACATCTAGCACACCAAATGGACTAGTGTGTAAATCATGTTGTCTTATTCTCAGAAAAACAATCACAGGAGCTATTTTGAATAATCCATTTTCATGGGTGCGTGTGTGTTGGAGGGAGTGGATAACTGCGTGCTAGATTTTAAGTTTAAGATGTTAGTATGTTCTCTATCATAGTCTCTTTTTTTTGTGGTAGTCTACCTTAATTAGAGGAAAATCAAAATACGAAGATCTAGACTTACAAAATGGAGGTATTAGGGATAGTTATTTGCATAATCAAAGCTCTACGTGCTTTTAAATACTTAGTTCCCTCTGAGTCTGTTCAATGATTTACATACCTTCAATCTCCACTTAATGCCTTAGAAAAAAATGCCACTTGGGTGTACCTGTAGTTTTACATGCTTATGCCATAAAGCAAAATTTCAAAGTCACATTCAAAATAGTTCCTGCATACCTGCTCAGTTTTTATTTCAATTTCTGAAGCTCCTTTGGGGGGAAGAATAGACCGGCTACTTATTATAATACCTTCGAATTCATCTTCTTTCCCCATCCGCCTAGCTATAGCTTTCATGCTGGGGTAGAGAATGTCAGTTCTATTGAAGAAGAGAGACAGAAATTAGCAAACAAACATATTTTTTTTCCTATTCAGATTCTCTGACAATCATTTTCATTCACGTTCTGTTTTCTGTCATCACGTATAAACCTCCCAACCCATTACAGTCACTCACATTGACATCTAATTTTACCACAGTTGCCACTCCCTTAGTCAGTATTAAATCCTGAGGCCTTCTCCCATTGGGTACATATAACTTCAGTCTTCATTCTTCAAAATATTGACAAGTTCTCTCATTCCCTAGTTACCAGGGAAGTTGACCGTAATAACTTGTAAGATAGACCAATGGGACTATGCCACCAAAGAGAACCTTCTTATGCCCAGTAAGGTCGGATGGTGAGTGGATGCTTAGTGAATGCTTGTTTGATAACAGACACATGGCAGAAGCAACATGTCTTTCCTGCCAGCTAAGTCATCCTAGCTAGAGCCTGAAGCTGTGAAAACACCCCACCATCCCACAGACCTAAAACCTCATGTTGCACCACATTATACCTCTGGTGGCAATTCATGAAGCTCTCAGAGACTCAACACTTGGGTCTAATGGGGCTGAAAATGGGGACTAGTTTACAGCAGCATCATCCCCCTACCCAGTGCTCACTGGGATCCTATGAACTAAAAAGGCTGAAGAGTCAGCACCATGGGGACACTTGAGAAGCTCAAGTTCCCAGGGACAGAACTCTAGGTAAATGATACACAGTGTTCCTTAGTGGAACCCGGCACTGTCCCTGCAGTCAACAGAACCCAACTTTTCCTGTAAAGCGCTGGTTATAGGACACATTGCCCAGCTTCCTCTGCACTCAGTGGGGCTGGGCGTACCAGGATTATGGACCAAATCTCACCCTCAGAGTAAGGGGAGGAATTTATCAGACCCCAGATTCCACTCATTTCACAAAAATTTCCACCTCAGCAACACTCACCCGTAGAGTTCTGAGAACTGTTTGTGGAAGGAGACAGAATCGCTGTCCTGGCCTTGCAGTTTGAGTCGGCCCCAGTGCTCCTTTAGCACTTCCAGCTGCTTCCACAGCACCAGAAATGATCTCAAGAAAGCAAGGGACATCACTGCATTGCATGGGCCCCTCAGCAGCCTGGAGGCTTTTGGGCTGCTTTGGAATGGACTTCTGAATCCTGGCACTCTGGACAAATCTGCCTGAAAGCATTACAGAAATTCTTCCTTATTAATCATAGATCAATATAGGATAACTTTTACATATAGCCCATGCAGAACGAACATTTTGGAGAAGGCCTATTTTCCCCAGGAGGAATGATTCATGGGCTTACAGCACAGTTAGAGCTTAGAAAGGGTAAGCATCCTTTCCAAATACATAGGATACTGAAAAGAGGGAAATGTCTCCATTTCAGCTTTCTGCTTGAGTCTTGAATCACTCATTTAAAAAACTCTTTTACTTGGGTACTAACATTTTACCTGCCTTTGAAAAATTGAGCCTTTCATGTTTAGCCTCTGCATTCTGGAAAGTGCCCTTCAACACACTTGAGATTTAATTCCCCTTCACAGTAGGGCTGTAATATAACCTCAGATTAGGGATTTTATTGTTTTATGGATAAGGAAATGGAAACGTAAGTTTATCTTATCTCCTATTCCTTCTCCCATCCTTTAAAAGTTTACAAGTCTCTTAATTTGAATTTATTATTCAAAGGCAATTTTCCTTTAGAATTATAATTTGTTTATTTGTTCATTGGTACTTTCCCTAAATCAGTGTTTGTTGAGGGGCTGCTCCGAGCCCTGGAGGATGTGGAGGGAACGAGGTTTTCAGGTCCCCCTCTCCTGCAGCCAGAGTGTGAGGAGGGCCAGAGTCACCCAGAGAGCGACAGACAAAACAAAGACCTGCATCCAGGCCCTCACCTTGATGACAGGGTCTCAGTCACAGAAAAAGGAGCATTGCTTTGCAGACGAAGATGGCAAACCTGGATCATGATGTTATGGCAAGAAGGGCCTCAGAGAACATTCAGGTAACAGCACCTCAGATACTCAAGTTTCCTGGCTCAGAACAGGAAGAACACCATGTAGTGTAACTGGATCAGTGCTATTAACGTATCTACAGAAAGGCACAGCTGCCAGAAAGAGGGTTGGTCAGAGGTGGAGTTGGCAAGCCAGACCCAGGGGAGAGTCCACAGCCCTGCACACAGCTGACGGCCCCGCAAGTAGCCTACCTCCTCACTAAGCAGCTAACTCAAGATTTCCAGATTTGTTTATCCTCAGGAAACCTTTCATCAAATAAAACCTTACGGAGTGACGGTAAATATTCAACAGAGCAAGGCTGAGCATGGTGACAGGGAGGGGGCAGCCTACGGGCCATGTAGCCCCCTCTGCTCAAAAAGCCCCAAGATGCCCCTTTTAAAGGGTTTGTGTGCAGTTTCAAACCTGAAGACCCAGCAAAAAAAGAACAGTTTGAAAAGCACCTAGACTATACGTGAAGGAGATTTACTGGCTAATCTAAAAGCAAATGGAGGGGAGGGGCAGATGAACTCTCCCCAGAGATGGGGGATGTCACTGGCAGATGCCAATATTTCACCCTCCGCTTACCCTGCTAGCACAGGTGAGCGAACTCAGATGCAAAACCCTCCTACCACCACCTTGCTAAGACAAGCAGGGGCACTGGCTGCCTTGCTGGAGCCAGAGCGGGAGTCAGTTGCAATGCTTCCCTGCCCCCTAGCTGGGGTAGGCGAGAGCAAGCAGTAGTAGCATTCTCCCACACCTTAGCTAAAGCTGCTGAGCACAGGGGGTTGCAAGATTCCTGCACTCACTGGATGGGGCTGGCAACTGTGAGCAGTCCCAGCAGTTTCCTGCTCTCAGCCTAAAGCCAGAATGTTCACATAGACAGGACATTCCTTCCTCCTGCTGCATTCCCAAAGCCCCCAGGCACGTGCAGTCAAGACATTTTCCTGCTGCCTTTCTGAAGCTGGAGAGAGTGTCCCACCCCCTACATTCTCCAGCTACCTAGTTAAAGCCAGTGGATATATGCAATCCACACAGGGGATGCTCCTTGACTGCCTGGCCCTGGGGGCCAAGGGGGTGGACATTCCTGAGCTCCAAGGCAATGTAACAGTCAGAAAGGCAGCACCTAGCAGGCCACCCCTCCAGGGCATGGCAGACAGCAGACTGAAGCACAACCTTGTCTTCCTGTGAAAAAAGCCTATTTACTTAGCCTGCAGCTTCAGCCTAAGGAGCAGGCTTCAGGTTTTCCCTACATCTAGAGGCTACAGAGATGCTCCCAGAAAACATAAGCAGGAAGACACCATCCTTGTGCACCTCCTATGCCTCGATACAGCTCAATAAGTCCTCCCAGAAAGAGCTTATACACTCATGTAGAGTCCCAAGTTTTGCAACTGTCACCCAGAGGATATCTTCAGATCTTTTGGTCTGGAGGCCAGCAGGGATTATGATTGTGGCTACACAAGACTATATCTGCATATATTTTTTAAGAGATTTTATTTATTTATTTGCGAGAGAGAGAGAGCACGAGTAGAGTGAGGAGGGAGGAGAAGAGGGAGAGGGATAAGCAGACTCCCCGCTGAACAGGGAGCCTGACGTGGGGCTCAATCACGACCTGAGCCCAAGGCAGATGCTTGACCTACTGAGCCACCCAGGCACCCCAATATATTTGCATATTTTAAAAGCTGCTGCCTGAGGGTCTAGCTTCAGATTAGCCTGAAACATGGTGCTAAATGAAATTTCTCCCATTGGAACACTGACAGGCCTTGGTACATCCTCAATAACAAGGACATATCAATAATAAATCAGGCTGATTAGACAATCACAAAGTTTCAAGAAACAACCAAGAGCTAGGGCAAGGTTGAACGAGAAGTTTCATCAGCTACACAAGGGCACTCCAAGACTGAGAGACTCAGAAAAAGACCATAATGCTATGGAGATAAGTAATCTACCTGATAAAGAATTCAGAGTAAATGTCATAAAGATGTTTACCAAACTTGGGAGAGGAATGGATTAACACAGTAAGGGTCCAACAATGAGATAGAAAATATAATAAAGTACTAAACACGAGTCCACAGAGCTGAAGAATATAATAACTGAACTGAAAAATACAGTAGAGGGTTTAAACATCAGATGTTTATCTATTTATCTATATAGCAGATGAATGGGTCAGCAAGCTAGATGCAAAGCAATGGAATTTACCCAGACAGAGCCACAAAAGGAAAAAGGAATTTTAAAAAATGAAGATAACTTAAGGGACCTATGAGACAACATCAAACAGAATAACATTTGCATTATAGGGGTTCCAGAAAGAGAAAAGAAAGAGAAATGGGCAGAAAACTTATTTGAAGAAATAATGACTGAAAACTTCCTTAACCTAGGGAAGGAAACAGATATCTAGGTCCAGGAAGCCCAGAGAGTTCCAAATAAGATGAACTCAAAGAGATCCACACCAAGACACATTATAATTAAAGTGTCAAAAGTTAAAGAGAGAATCTTAAAAGTAGTAGGAGAAAAACCAATTGTTACATACAAGAGAAACACCATAATCAGCAGATTTCTCAGCAGAAACTTTGCAGGACAGAAGAGAGTGACATGATATATTCAAGGTACTGAAAGGAAAAAACCTCCAGCCAAAAATACTCTACCTGAAGGTTATCATTCAGAATTGAAGAAGAGAGAGAGTTTTCCAGACAAAAGCTAAGGGAGTCCATCACTCCTAAACTGGCCTTATAAGAAATGTTAAAGGGACTTTTTTTTAGCAGAAAATAAATGGCACTAATTGTTAACAACAACAACAACAAAGCATACAAAAGTAAAAATCTCACTGGAAAAGGTAAATATATAGTACAGGTAATGGGTTAATTTATAAAGCTACTATGCAGGTTAAAAGACAAAATAAAATTAACTAAAACTACAATAATTAGTTAAGAGAGAAATAAGAGAAAAAGATGTAAAATGTGACATCAAAAACAAACATGAAGGGGTGTGGTAGTTAAAATGTAGGGTTTGGAAAATGTTCAAATGTAAGTTGCTATCAACTTAAAAGAGACAGTTATATACATAGGATGATATATGTGAACCTTACAGTAACTACATAGCAAAAACTTGTATTAAATACACAAAAGAAAATGAGAAAAGAATCTAAACATAACACTAAAAAAAAAGTCATCAACCAGAAGGGAAGAAAGAAAGAGAAGAAGGAAGGAATAGAAAGGAACTATAAAAACAGTCACTAAACAAGTAAAAAAATGGCAATAAGTACCTACCTATCAATAATTAAAATAAATGCAAATAGATTAAATTCTCTAATAAAAAAATCACAGAGTGGCTGAATGGATAGAAAAGCAAGGCACTTTTATATACTGCCTATAAGAGACTCACTTCGTAAATAAGGACACACACTAAAAGTGAAGGGATGGAAAAAAGATATTCCCTGCAAATGGAAATGAAAAGAAAGCTGGTGTAGTTATGCTCATATTAGACAAAATAGACTTTAAAACAAAGACTATAATAAAAGACAAAGAAGGGCACTACATAATGATAAAGGAATCAACCTCAAGAAGATAAAACATTTCTAAATATATATGCACCCAATGTAGGAGCACCAAAGAACATAAAACAAATATTAAGAGACCTAAAGGGAGAAACTGACAGCAATACAATAATAGTAGGAGACACTGACACCCACTTGTATCAGTTAATAGATAGTCCAGACAGAAAAATCAATAAGGAAACATTGGCTTTAAATGACACAAACAAAGCCCAAGTTAGTAAAAGGAAGGAAATAATAAATATCAGAGCAGAAATAAATAACATAGAGACTAAAAAGATAATTTAAAAAAATCAATGAAGTGCTGGTTCTTTGAAAAAATAAACAAAATTGACAAACCTGTAGTTAGACTCACAAAGAAAAAAAAAGTGAGGGTTGAAAGAGAAGTTACAACTGATACCACAGAAATAGAGAGGATCATAAGAGACAATTACTAACATGGGGCGCCTGGGTGGCTCAGTTGGTTAAGCAACTGCCTTCGGCTCAGGTCATGATCCTGGAGTCCCGGGATCGAGTCCCGCATCGGGCTCCCTGCTCT